AAGTGGGTCTGGGGGGCTTGGTTGTTTTTTCTGTTGGGGGGGGGGGTCTAGGGGTGTCTCAGCTGGGGCCTCAGTGTGGAGAGCAAATAAAACGGACAAGGCTGATTTTTTTTTTTTTTTACAGCAGGAAACTTGAAGACAGCAGAAACAACATGCATTAGTGTGCGTGTTTGCGCGTGCGTGTTTGCGCGTGCGTGCGCGCATGTGTGTCTCACGTGAAAGAATGTCAAACAATGACGAAAGGTGTTGAAGCAGGCGCTGTAACTTGATCAGGCCACCGTCAACTATTGTGCGCAGCAGCAGACCCCAACTGAGCCCTCCCTTGGGGAGAAGTGCGAGCTACCACCACCAAGACAAGTCCCGACAAGAACTTTCCTTCCTGGGACCACCCCGCCACTCACATAGGGAGGGTAGGCCCTACGATGGACAGAAAGCAAGCGAGAGGGAAGGAAATGAAGAGATGTGATGGTTTGGACAGCAAATTTGAGTATTTGGCTGTATGTGTCATTCAGATGACCTATGGAGGGGGGGGGGAGGATAGGTAGACTTCTACAAATAAAATCATCAATTTAGAAAAATCAACGAATCAAGTGTTTTCGATTTTCCCTATTTTTGTGAATGGATAATTTAGCTTCACCTCTTCATTTTAAAAAATGCAGAAGCTGCCACTTTGGTTCTTCCGTTTTCTTGCAGCAAACTCCATTGAGGATGAGGGAAGGAAATGAAGAGATGTGATGGTTTGGACAGCAAATTTGAGTATTTGGCTGTATGTGTCATTCAGATGACCTATGGGGGGGGGGGGGGAGGATAGGTAGACTTCTACAAATAAAATCATCAATTTAGAAAAATCAACGAATCAAGTGTTTTCGATTTTCCCTATTTTTGTGAATGGATAATTTAGCTTCACCTCTTCATTTTAAAAAATGCAGAAGCTGCCACTTTGATTCTCCCGTTTTCTTGCAGCAAACTCCAGTGAGAATAGAAAAGAAAAAAAAGGACCGTTTTGCAACAAAGTCTTCAAAACGACCCGGGCCTCTTTCGTATTGAGGCTATAAGTCGGATATGCAGTACAAAGGCTCATCCGAACACATCCGACTTATACGTCATCAAAATGATAAATGGGCTGTCACTTGTATAGCGCTTGGCTAGCTTCAAAGCACCTCCCACTGTTACCGCATTTACCAACTAATGATGGAGCATCAGGAGGTTCAGTATCTTGCTCAAGGACACTTTGACTTGGTCACAATGGCTGGGGATCAAACTCCCAAACTTTGGGTTGAGACGACCATTCTTCCACTGACGCACGTCGCCCCCGCTGCCGTTCATCGAAAGCCAAATATGTGCGCGGGCGGTGGAGCAGCGCTTGAGAGACTACTGACAACCGTGCATCTGCAAAGTTGCTCAGACTTTACAATGCGACTTTTATATGTGACTTGAAATGAATCCCACTTGAAAGGGGAAGCTGTACTGTCCAAATCGAGACGCATACACTCGTTACAAAATGTAGCATGCTTGGCTCTTTTAAATAGCCGCACTTCAAATAAGGCCTGCTAAGTGCACAGAGCAAAACATGGAGGAAAAAAAAATTCATTAATTAACTCATTCACTCCCAAAGATGTTTTTAAACGTCTTTTCAGACTTGGTCTAGAATTGGCTGGTACTAAATTATTTAAAAATCACAATGCTCCTCCGGCTCAGCACAGCCTCACTTACGGAGTGTTAAAAGTGTTTGCAAACAGCTCAGGCTACGGCGAGCATGATTCGTTCAAAAGAGACTTTTGTGAACGCAGCGTTGTCTTTTGCTTGTCGTCGTGCTCGTCCGGCCTTTGCGCCGTCAGGCCGAGCATGAACATGTACAGCGACAACATTGCAGAGTTCTGGTCCACACGTCGGCTTCGAATCAAATAAAGTTGAAAAACAAAACAAACTAAATAAAAAGCCCACACTGGCGGGTGATGGCGGCGCCATATTTGCGTGCTATGTCATGTAGCAGAGGCTTGGTGGTCCAATACCGTTAAAGTGATTGTAATCGGAGCAATGTTGACATATTGGAGACATCGAGCCAGTTTTTTAATGTTGGACCAGTGGAAGTGACGTCGTTTTTTTTTTTTTCTCCCCACAGTATTGGTCTGACAGCTATCGATAGGATAGGCAGGTATTGATATCAACCTAAATTCAAATTATCGGTACTCACGACAGCAGCCCATACCAGGATGGGCTGCCCTCTTGTGACAATTTTATGAACAGAAATTTTAAAAAATAGAAAATTAGAAACTTAATTTCAGGAAAACTGTTATATAGTTCTTTCATTAAAATTATCGGTCAATGTTTTTTAGGGGAAAACTTTTCAGCATGTATCAAAAGTAACTAGTGGTATCGGTACTTGGTATCAATATCGCTAACTATTCAAGAATTGAGATTCGGAACGGTATTGGTCTGGGCGAAAAAGTGGTATCGAACATCCAAAGTAATTTTGCCAATGTTAGGACTAAAAATATGCGGTCTGTATGTGTTATACTTCCTTCATGTGTTCAAGGCAGTCAGATGAGAAGGCGAAGCATTTGCTGTACTTGATGAAGTAGCAAAACATTTGATTCTATTTAACTCATTCAGTACCAGCCAATTCTGGACCGAGTCTGAAAGACGTTTAAAAACGTCATTGGGAGTGAATGAGTTCATGATGCATCATTACTCAATGTTTTAAGGACAATCACAATTACGGACTGCACATTCAAATGTATATGACAGGAATTTGGGATGTTTTTTGGGTGAGGCTGGAACAGATTTATGGCGTTTGATCAATGAAGGGTCAAACATCAAATCAACTTCCTGGCAGACGACATTCAGTGGCTCCGTTTTCCACTCGTTAACATTCTGATAAGCATTCCTGGGAAACACTTCCAGGGAGGAGTGCGGGGGAGGGGGTGGGGGCCGTGGCGGGGGGCATAAAACATCCCGGTGATCTCACCGCATTCCAAGCAAATCAAAGAACGCTTTGAGCGTCCGTGTGGGCATGCCGCGGCAGACGCGGAGCAAAGATCAGCTTGGCCATGCGCGCCTCCATCTTGTTAACAGTCGACAATTGTTTGCGACCAATCGTGACATTGCACGCGCCGACAAAACATGGATGCTGGGCGCGCGCACGCGCGTTTGAGTCACGCACGATGGCGCTCGCCCTGCCTACTACATTCTTTGTGACAGCCATCTTTGTTGAACATTTCTCACACACATCAACACACAGACACACAATCTGACTTTAATCAACACAGCAAGCAAGTTCAGAGGAGATTAAAGAGTCATGTGGCGGTTGCAGGTGATAACCGGCCCTGTGTGTGTGTGTGCATGTGTGTATAAACATTAGTGTGCTAATTAAAGAGCACCAAAGAAGCCCCCCCC